TAAATGAAAAAAGTGCCACATATTAATGGAAGTGTGATCTCACTACAAAAGGATGAGGCCAGGAATTTTAAACAGTGGGAGCTTAACCTCAGGCACTGAAATCCTTATCCTTACTTAGGACATAAGTAATTAAATAGTTAAAGACAGGAGTCACAACAACCTCATACAACACTATAGACTTGGGGCAGAGTGCCTGGAAAGCTGCCTGTTGGAAAAGGACCGGGGGTGCTGGTCGACAGCAGCTGAACGTGATCCAGGGTGTGCCCAGGTGGCCAAGAAGGCCGATGGCATCCTGGCCTGGATCAGCCCTGGTGTGGCAGCAGGAGCAGGGCAGTGACCGTCCCCCTGTACTCAGCACTGCTGAGGCCACAGCTCCAATCCTGTGCTCAGCTCTGGGCCCCTCACTGCAGGAAAGACATTGAGGGGCTGGAGCGTGTCCAGGGAAGGGCAACGGAGCTGGGGAAGGGTCTGGAGCACAAGTGCTGTGAGGAGCAGCTGAGGTTTTTTCACCTGGAGAAAATGAGGCTCAGGGGGACCTTATCCCTCTCTGCAGCTGCCTGAAAGGAGGCTGTAGCCAGGTGGGGGTCAGGCTCTTCTCCCAGGTAACGAGTGTTAAGGTGAAAGAGAACCGCCTCAAGTTGTTCTGGAGTAGGTTTAGAGTGGATATTAGAAAAAATTTCTTCTTGGAAAGGGTTGTCAATCATTGGAACAGGCTGCCCCGGGACGTTGTGGAGTCACCATCCCTGGAGGTATTTAAAAGTCATTGTAGATGTGGTGCTTAGGGACATGGTTTAGTGGTGGTGGACAGTGCTGGGTTAATGGTTGGATTCAATGATCTTAGGGTTCTTTTCCAATCTAAACAATTCTATGATTCTGTGAAGAGATCTTAATGAACCTAATTTTCTCCAAGTATTTCCTGCAGTTACTGAGCACTCATGTAAGGCATCTTCAGAGGTTTTGAATGTAATTGGCCAAAAAGAGACACCAATGAACAGTTCTGAGAATCTTAGCCCTTCAGTCTTAATTTAGGCTCTGATTTTTGAATATTTGCTCTCATAAATGCATAATTTAAAGTTATTTCAGTAATGGAAGTTTTTGATTCTTTGCTCTTGAAGAGAGACTCCACTTGTAAAACATCCTTTTTAAAAGGCTGACTTTTTTCAAAGCATGTTACCAGTATAGTTATTTTCTGAGTGTGACATTTGTGTGTGTTATAAATGAGTGTTTGAGATCACTTAAAAAATTGCTTAAAATTCCTTAAAAGGCTTACAGATTTATTTTTACCTTTCAGAAATGTTAAGAAATAAGCTTCATTCTCACTATTCATAGACAACTCTAATGCCTAAACTTTTGAGTTGCATTGAAGTAAAGTTTCAAAGTGAATTTGAAGGGTTTCAAAGACTCTGCACTATATAGACTTTGCTTAAACTGAAGGAAAATGGAAAAATATAATAATAATAATAATAATAACCCCCAAGATGTTCTCTTGTCTGAATACTGTGCAAAGATGCTTTAAATGACTAGACAAAAAATTATGAAAGCAGCATATGACCTAAATTATAAATAAAATATGGGGACTACTGGACCAAAATCTGCATGCAGGAAAAAATTTTATGACAATCAAATCTACAGAGAGGACTATTCAAGAATGTTTACTAAGCCCTCAATCCTCACACTTTTACAGTTGGGGGTCACATATTTTGAGCACCTGAACTGCGAACAGTGTTTCCAGAAATTCACTGCGTGACTCTGCAAATGTTTAAGCAGTTCTTGGATCTTTGACTCATCTCCCTGTTCTTGGTGTACCTGGATTTTGCTTTCATCTGTCCTTCTGTGGTGACTTCCGCAGCTTCCTAATTATGTAAGCTGTGACTGAGAATGGCCCACAAATTCTGAGTGTTTGCAGTGATGAGCCATAAAAGAATTTTTTACCTGAGGGAATGAAATACTGAAATTTGCTTGTTTTGAATTTGTATCATTGTTAAAGCTCCAGCAACAGAGTGGTGCTGTGGTAGCTTACCTAAGGTGTGAGTTTCCTCCATTTTTTTTTAAAGAGCAGTGTTTGCAGCGTCATCACCATCATTCCACTGGAAGACACAACCAGAGAACATCTAGTCTAGAGAAGGGAGCAAGCCTACAAGCTTGGTATATCAGAGCTCTCCTTAGCAGCCCCCAGTAGGGCAGCAGAACCAAGTTCCCACATGCAGAGCTGGAAAACTCAGATGATTACGAGAACACAAGGTATGAATTCCAGAAAGTTCAAGCAAATTCCTTCTGCTTGTTCATATCAAGATTTATACAAATAGCATAACATGAGGCTTGGCAAGATAATTTTCCTTCAGTTTTGCCATGTGTTTCTTCACAAGCCTATGCCCTGTTAAAAAAAAAAAGCAGGATACTTAATACTAGTTGTCTGCCTGATGTCTCAATGTTTGCGTGCTTAGTTCTGTTGGCTGCAGTGCTACTGCAGTAAAGACAAGGTAGTCACAGCCAATTTGTTCATATCTGCAGAAGTGAGTTCTCAGTGCTTAGCTGTGCAATAAAGTCAGTCCCTGAGAATCCCTGACAGTAATTGTCATTCTCCTCCTCAAACCTAGAGCAATATTTAAAGCAGAGGAAGCATAGGAACCTCCTGAACAGTTTATTTCCCCATTGCCTGACAGTGATTTCACTGCAATGCCTAGAAAAAGCAAAGTAGTTCAGGTGACACCTATTTCTGGCATGAAATCCTAGTTGTGGATTCCCAGTGCTGATGTGTTTTTCAGACCCTCTAATGAATTTCTAAGCTGTCCTGGAATGACAGCTTCTGGGAGGGTGACTAAAATTCCTATGGTGGATTTCAGGTTTGCAGACTTTGATGAAATCTAAACAACAGGGTGGGAAAGCTGTTTTTTGTCAAGAGCAGCCATGAAGGCAGAGAAGCAAATCCTTGTTAGTAGAGAGCTTTTCATCTCCTTGATAATTTTTTCTGAGAAATTAAGGGTAGGATATGGAAACCAGCATGAATTTTGAGGATTGGGGGCAAAAGAATGGAGACTCTTTTCTGTTCTGCTCCTCCACAGGGAGGAGATATTCCAGCTATGGGTAAAGATACAGCCTGATCAGAAGTGTTTTGTGACCCTCATAAAAGCAGTGCCTTGAGATCCAGAGAGAGGCAGGAAGAGTCACATTGAGGGCCCTGTAGTAGCTCAGAACCACGGTTAGTTTCTTTATCCTTCTCTGGTAAGCATGAATTCACTTATTTTAAACCTAGAAGAGACAGCTATTACCATTAACTCCCTGTGTAACAGCAAACATGGCTAGTAGCTGTTCATGGTAAAGATCTGGAGTAGAAAAACTCCTTATCTGAAATACCGTAGACACACATCACAGACATTTCCAATTCTTCACCAGCAAATAGGACACTATAGAAAATAATTTTGGTAGCTCACAACTGCGTATGAAAAGATAACACTGATAGCACTTTGTACAGTGTGGTCCCTTCTCTTCCCCCTTCACCTTTTGCCCAGTTTTTTATAAACTTAGGCTGGGCAAACAGAAATGGCTTAAACAGAAGATGGCAGTCCTCTGTGGGGAATGGCTTAGGAATCTTTCAGTCCCTTGGCTCCCCACAGCTACTGACTTTTCCAGAGCTTTTCCCCCTTTCCTCCCCGTACAAAAGGGAACGGTCTCCAGTCTTGCTGTCAAAGCAGTAAGTTCGGGAGAAACAAGCAAGATTCTAGTCAGAGATACTTTTGTCTTGGCCAGCCAAAAGGAAAGCATTATTATATATCCAGGATAGTTGTTTAAAGCAAATAGTTATATTCTGTTTCTTCACATTACTGAATCAGAGTACAGTTATGTACTGTTGAGTTGTTGGTGAAATAGCAACAGAATGGTGAAATAGCAACAGAATGATTAAGAAAATCACCACGCAAAACCATGCAAAATATGTTAGTTATCAACAAAGTAATTGGATAGCATTTAAGCAAATGAAAGACACAGGCATGCAAAGGATTATAATAACTGTAGCAGAGAGTGGAGGTTTCCAAGTGACTGCATTCCAAGTGACCCAACTATATTTACTACCAGCAAACAGAGGACTTTCTCATCACTGCCCTACCTCAAGAAATCATGAGAGGGGATGGTGACCCTAGAGGTATCAGTGATCCTCCAAAAATTGAAAATTATAAATGAGAGTGAGAGTAGGAAAACTTTAGAGAGGAAGAAAACAAATTCTGAATTCTTTTAGATGGCTAACAAGCTATATTTCATAAAAAGGATAACCTTTAAGCCTGTTGTGGATCAGTGGATCATTTTTACAGTCAGAGTAAAAATGCAATATATAATACTGAAAATAATTATAAATTGAGGAGGGAGAAAACATATAAAATTGATTTGCAAAATGGGAAAAGTGATAAAGTCAAGCTGAAGTCTACAGGAAGAAAGTCAGTCACTGCTAGTTTTTAAAAAGCCATGTGAATTTTCTAAAACATTTGTAAAGCAAGCATTCCTAGTGATAATGTATGAACTTCTGTTAGATGGAGTTATTATGCTTAAAATAATGTAGGAAAGGACTAAGTTTTTATTGATTTGGAACCAGGAAGGAAGAAAATTATGGAGATGGCGATACTGAAATATTTTCTAAACTATTAGCAGAAAAGGAGAATTCTTAGTAAACACAGGCTATACAACTTAAATAACTGAAATTATGGTGTGTCAGAACACCCCATTTGAGCACCGATGTCCTTCCTTTCCCAAACACGACCTCCAGCATCACTTCCACCCCTCTCAGCTGTGGGCTGATGCAGAGCTGCCTCCAGGTCTCTTCGTGGCCCGTGTCCAGCACTCCCTTGTCCGCAGTGACTGCTCCCTTCTTCAGCAGCAGCAGGCACACGATGCTTGCCCAGCAGTTGGGGTGCACAGCCCCGTGCTCCCCTTTGGCTCCCCATCCTTAGCTGTGGTCGCAGCTACGGGGTTATGGTCAGCCACCAAACCGGCGGAAGGAATCGCGAAGACGAATGGTGTCTCTGTCTGCCCCGTTACGGTCGTGCCCATCAGCTCTTCGTGCTGCTGGCTGGGTCCGTGGCTCTGGGTCGCTCTCGCCGCAGCTGACTGAGCGGTGCTGCCGGCATCCTGGACAGGCGCTCAGCTCGGAGCGCTGCTCCCTCCGTGCTGCCCAGCCCGGCTGCCCGGCTCCCGCAGCACAGCCCGGCCTCAGGGCACGGCCCCGGCCCGTCCGCCCGCGCTGCCGGAGCCGTGCTCCGGGGCTGTCCCGGGGGGAGCCGGCCTCTGGCAGAGCGGGCCGCGGGCTCCGGCCTGGCACGGCAGCGCCGGCCGGGGGCACGGCGGGGCCGCCCCGCTGGCTTCGCCCGCTAGAGGGCAAGAGAGCCCCGCACAAGCGCGGCTGCCCCTGCCCCGCAGCCCCCGGCCCGCTGCGCCCGGCACGCCCTGCCCCGGCGGGGTCAGCGGCGCGGCCCCGTGGGGAGCAGCCCCGGGTGGCCGCTGCAGGCCTGGGCTCGGGGCCGTTCGGCATGAAATGTCCTGGGTGGCCACGTTGCCGTGGAGGGAGAGGTAATCCCTTCCATCGGGAAAGCTCTCAAGGCCTTTGGCCGTTCCAGAAAACGGGCATAGAGCCATCACGGAGCTGGCACGGACCTAATCCGTCGGGGGACGGCGCACCGGGCTGCTGCCGCGCCTGCCGCAGCGCACATGGAGCGGTAAGTGGGGCACGCACCCTGCTCCTGCCGAGCTGGGCCGGTGCCGAGAGGCACCTTCTCCCTGCCCAGCAAGGCGGTGGGGACCTGGCTGCTGTCTGCAGCTCCAGTCTAGCACTGGTAAGTAGCATGGAGCCGATGGTCAAGCTACGTGTCTTGGTTGATGTACGAAGGCCGCCTCATCTTTCAGGCAGTGAGCTGTCTAAAGAGGAAGAATATCAGCCAAAGGAAGAGCCCCCGGGATGCCCTGCAGCCTGCTGACAAATCCAACCGAGACTGCAGCTACAACTGAGCGCCGACAGTATCGGAGCATGAAGAAGGCAGAAACTTCGGAGGAGGCACAGCGTGTGCTTGGGCAGGGAAGGTGTACAAAGCAAAGCACTGGCCGTGGCAAAGAGGTTCTCACAGTTCTGCAAGCCTTGCCACACAAATTGCTTGCCATGTGGAGGCTTCTGCAGTCACCTGCACACATGGCAACCCTGATTTTCTCCCTTTTTCTCCTTTCAATCAGTGGCACTTTGGCTCTCCAGCTGGAGGGTCATGCAACACAGTGGGCAATAAATTCATTACTAAAATAAGCAGATACAAGCTATGTAAAAATAAACACATCACAGAAATTTCATACATGTTTGGCAGCTTTCATACTTACATCACCCTATCTACTTTCAAGTATCACCAAGGACATGAATTCAAAAAGACTGTGTTGACACCTGTGTCAATGCACTTGACTTTATCCTAATAACTCCCTCCCTAGGATGATCACAAAGACCATATCCTGTCAGTATTTGTTTATGTGATTCACTGATTCCTGTACACTGCAAAATACCATAACACCATTAAAAGATATACCACTGTTGCTGTGTATTGCATGGTGACACTGACACTGGTGTTTTCTTGGACTTTTCCATCTAAATTGCATGTTTTACACTACTCTGGTGTGAAATTTTGATGAACTGTCCTTTTCCTGCTTAATTCTGGAATTTTTATAGGAATCTTTTTGGTCATAAATACTGCTACTTTTTTCTACACTCTCTAAAGTAAGAAAGTAAATACATTCCTCCAGTTTAAATTTTCTGAACTTGTAGACATTTGTTTTATTAATCCAGTTAACCTGAATCATATGGCTTTTTGTTTTGTTTTGTTTTCTTTTCACAAATGTTTTCTTTATTTCCAGTCAATCTAATGTTTGATAATAATGACTTTCAGTCATTTTTCATTGCTGAGATCACATGAGTTTTCTTTGGAGTGTAAATTTGTGTAGCTGTATTAATAGTTTAGTGCCCTCACCAGCCATTCTGGGGAAATGCTCAATCACATGTATAAGGCAGCAGGTGGGATCCATGCAGTTCTATCTAGACCTCTGTCATGTAGAAGTCTACATCTAATATAGGCTCCCTCCATACACGAGGAAGAATTAAGCATCTTTAACACATGAGTCATGTCATCCTAAAGTAGATGCCTAGAATAGGTCAGATGATTTGTGTCCTAAAATTGCTCCTATTTCTCTGTGTTAAAGAACAAGTCATTTATATCTTGATGTTTCAATTCTAGCAGCCTCAAGTGAGATGAGATTAATTAATAGTCATATCCAGGTTTATGTCATGCTTTGAAATACCCTGAAAATTCTTATTTGTCAAGCAAGCTGAAAATAGCATTACTTTTTATATTATTCTCCATTTATATATAAAAAAGGCTTTAAAAAGTTTTCTGCCTCAAGACATTTTAGTAAAAATGGCAAATGCCTTTTGTTTCATGGGAAAGTCATAACACCTCTCTTTTTAATAACTAAGTCTTTCAGTTCTCTCTCTGCAAGGTTGGAAAATAAATTAGTTAGATACATTAAAGGTCCAGAATAAGAACCTGCTCTTGGTGAAATTATACAATATGGGGGGAGTTAAAAAAAAAAAAAAACACCAAGAAAAAACTGTTTTGGCAGGCTGGATTATTTTTTAAATGACATTCAAAAATGATACGTGAAAAGATCTTTTAAAACTAAACTACGTGGCAGAGTACAGGTGAAACAGTTTTCTTTTAAAAGTGTCATAATATCTAAAACCTGATAGAGGTGTCACACTAGTGTGGTACATGTGAGGAGAATGTGTGCCAGGAACTCCTCAAGAAATGCAGGATCCTTCTGACCAGTTCTGCTCTCAGGAGTTAAAATCCTGCATAAAGCTGATGAGTAAGCTCTTGATGACTCACTGTGGCAGATGCAGTCTTTAATTCCAGGAGGGTATAAGGGAAGTGGGTGTGAATCTCGAGTAGAGGGGAGCTAGGGATGTTCCTGCCTCAGTGTCTTGGGGATAAAAGTGTAGGTTTTTAAAACAGCCCCAGCTATCAGCAATGCCAAACTTCTGTAAGGGGTAAGTTTGACATTACACATCACATTATGTGAAGCAAGGTTGGAATACCACCTACTCACAGATGGGTATGATTTTGGGGATGTCCTGCATAATTCATGTGTGGCTTTGATACTTATGAGTAATTCAGACATCAAAGCCTCAACTTAGATAACACTTTTATAACACTAAACTTCCTATAGCAAATAACCTGTAGGCTTTCATTTAAGTCCCTTAACAAAACAAAACAAAGCAAAACAGAAAAAAAAGGCAACTATTCCAATACTTTCTTCTTCACTTATTTTTTCATAAGGTAAGCTGGTGTGAAGTACAAGATAGAAAATACTGAAGCCTGAAATAGAGAAAAAAAATCTATATAATACTCTTCACTGGAACTAGAAATGTAAATTTAAAGCACTAGAAAGAAGGAACCTCTTTCCTTAGAGCACACCAAATACCAGGCCCTTATGGTCACTCGACAGTATTCCCCTCTGCTTTGCCAGTGGCACAAACCTTCACTTTTCCACAGTGCAATTTTTTAACAAGCAATTTTATGTTCTCTTCCAAGTTAGCCATTATGCATGGAAAAATCTCCCCATTAATAACCGTAAAGCTCCTTTATTGTTCTCCTTCAAAACTCCTTAAAACTTCCTTCTGACACCAAACACTTGTCACCGGCTGAGCCTGTTGCTTTTTATTCTCAAGGCTGTTTTTCCCTTATCCTTCCCCCATGGGTTTGTGCTATACACCTGTTGTCTTTCATCATGGGTTAAGATCATAAGCTCTTTGGGCATAGACCATCTCTCTTATTACATGTGTCTACAGTATCCGACACAATGGAACTGTGAGCCCTGAATGGGGCCTCCGGGTGCTGCCATGATCCACTTGATAAAGAATGATGATTTTTGACATGGTGAGTTCTGCAGTTTTTCCCAAGTCATTCTGCAGTTGTTCACGCTGGTATAACCAGTGTGTGAGAGCAGTGTCCTTAAATCCTAAAAAAAAAAAAAAAAAAAAAAAAGGATAAATGCTAAATGCTTTGGAAGTATTTGCTAGAGAGCAAGGACTTTACTGCTTTGGTGTTGGGGTTTTTTTTCTGTTCCTGCATATTGAAATGCATGGGCTGACATGCAGCAACTCTTTCTTTTTGTAGGTTTGTGCAGAACTAGTGATGTGTCTGCTCTGAAGCTTCTGCATCCTGTCCTTCAAATTGCAATAAAGACTGTTGGAGTCAAATAAAAGGGGGAGGGGAGGGGGGGTGGCTCCTGCACCACTGGCATGAGTCAGTTCCCTAAAGGTCTGTGTGGATTCAGGACACAGCTTTTCCTTGCTGCAGTTTCCCTGCTAGACATGGAAACTAGTTTCTCTCCCTCCTCTTGTGTTTAGTCACATTGGCAAGCGGGGGGATGCAGGAAAGCTGTACCAGCCAGAGCTGGACTGCTGCCTTTTGTGGTGGGGAAGGCAAGGAGAGCCACCCCCTCCATCACATGCCCATCGAGCAGGAGGACATGCAGAGTCGATTATTTTTAATTAACCCCCTTGCAAAATTCTCCTTTTCTAGAGTTCTCTTTCCAGGCTCCATCAGTGACCTTCCTGGACCCCGCTACCTCAGTGGTGCACATCATCATTCACACCATGCAATCTCTTCCCCCGGCCCCCAAGATATTATATTTCTCCTCCTTTTCTCCCTGCCTCTCTCTCTCCCCCAGCATTCCCAAATGAGCCTGTTTTTAGGTTTTGTGCTCAATTCAAGGGGCTGCCAGAGTGCCTTCTCCCTCGTGCAAGGCTCCGCATCGTGCCCAGTCCTTGAGCTCTGCTCAAGAACGCTTTTGCAAATGCAGGAGACCTTCTGGCCCTTTGCTGATTCACACAGCTCTTTTTGGAGGGCAAAACCACAATAACACCAATTCTGGGCATCATAAGAAGAAACAGAAACCCTCTCTCCACTCCCCGAATCTCTGCCGACAGTTTTAAATAACTTCATTTTGGGCGGCGGGGGAGGGGTTGGGGGCAAAGAGAACACGTATTTCGCACTGCACCCCTGTCTCCCCCCATACCACCTCCTACTCGCTGCTCCCTTCCCTCCACCGTGCTCTTACAAACTGGGGCCGAGCTAGGAGCCGGTGGCTCTTACAAACTGGGGCCGAACCGGTGGCCCGCGGGGCGTCCCGGGTGGCGGCAGGGCCCCGACTCTGCCCGCACCAGCAGCGGCATCCCCGAAACTACCCCCGGCAGCGCAGGGGCAGAGCGGGAGGGCTGCGGACTGCCGGGGCGGGGGGCCAGAGTGGAGAAGGCAAAAACTGCTGCGTGGGCAATACTGACCCCCACCACCCGCCCCAGCTCCCGAACTTCCCGCGCCCCGCCGGTTTGCCCACCGGAGCTGAGTTTGAACCCCGCTTGGGACAGCGGCAGCCCGGTTACCTGCGGCAGAGCGGGCCGGGCTGCGGAGCGGTGCGGGGCGGGCTCGCCTCCGCCTCCCCTGCGGCGGGGCCGGGCCCCGGGCCGAGCTCGGGCTGGGCGGGCAGGGCGCTGCCCGCCCCGCTCCCCCCGCCAATGTCAGCGGGGACTCGGGCTATGCGGGCATCTCCCGAGGAGCCCGCTTCCCGCAGCGGGCGGGCGCGGTATATTTAGCATCGCGTCGCTTTATTCCTCCCCCAAAGTTTCGCCCACTTATTTATTTATTTGCCGGCGAGCGCCGCGCTGCCGCAGAGCAGCAAGAGCCGCTCCGCGCCGTGCCGAGCGCTGGAAGCGGCTCGGTATTGCAGCAGGTAGGGCTGAGCGCTAGGACCTCGGAGAATCCTTCCAGCAGCAATCAGGACTACCTTAAACCCAGCCCAATGCCTCTTCCTGCGCCACTCTGCGTGCTGGATGGAGATCCACAGTCAAGAGCTGCAGCTCAGTGCTGGAGTACAACATTTCACAGGGAGCCCTGCAGAAGCAACACCTGTTTCGAGCCAGCCAAGAAAGACACAAGCACTTGTATGTTGCTGCTTTGCTTGTGGATCGTCAATAATCCTAAACCAGTGGACATCTGCTGAGCCTCCTGAGAATTCTGGATAATAGATTTGGACGTCAAAAGTTTTTTTTTTCCTTTTTCTTTTTTCCATTTTTTTTTTTTTTTTTGGATTTATCTCAGCCAACAACGTGAGATTTCCCCCCTCCCCCTTTGCAGGATTCATGCTGATGTATGCAGTCTGTTATAGAGTAAAAACAGCGCATGCCTTTCTGGAGTCAGAATCCATAAATCCTGACGTAGCCTGTGCATCTTAAAAAAAAAAAAAATCCCTATAACGCCTAGGTATTTAAGTTGCTATGGTCATTCTTATCTTAAACCAAATGGAGAAACTACGGATTTTTTTCTTTATTACAGTTGGATGGGCTGAAGACCGTATTGCTTGCTAAGAGCTGGGGATATATGCATTTATATAGATATACACATCTATATGTTTATAAATATGTCAGTGTGTGAGTATAAAGTGGTGGTTTCTTAGACTAACTGGTTTGACCTTGAACCTGTACCAGTCAAAACAGAATATTACTTTTATTTATGCATTTAATGGATTGAAGAAAGAACATTTTCTCTGTAACTGCGCTAGGGAGGGGAGAGGAGTGGAATATACCTAATCTTATATCTCCTGGGTTTGGCACCATCATTATTGTTTATTCTCATTCTCTAAAAGCAGAATCTTCTGATGGCTCCCTTAGGTGAAGTTGGGAACTATTTCGGTGTGCAGGATGCAGTACCCTTTGGGAATGTGCCCGTTTTGCCGGTGGATAGTCCGGTTTTGTTAAGTGACCACCTGGGTCAGTCTGAGGCAGGTGGGCTACCCAGGGGGCCTGCGGTCACGGACTTGGACCATTTAAAGGGGATCCTCAGGCGGAGGCAGCTATACTGCAGGACTGGATTTCATTTAGAAATCTTCCCCAATGGTACTATCCAGGGAACCAGGCAAGACCACAGCAGATTTGGTAGGTATTTTCCTTAACCCTTTAGTGGTCATGTGATGAAATAATGGGGCAGAACTGCGGGCGGGGGGACGGTGGGGGGTGCGAGGCGGGCGGGAAGGGGGGCTTGTGTTGATGGCTGATCCGCCGAGGGGAAAAATGAATGTGTCCGGGGGTGCAGATGTACACGAGCGGCAGCACCGCGGCGGAGCAGGAGCCCTTGCCGGGTGCTCGGTAGCGATGTTTGTGTAGCCCCAAGTTCGGCTTAAGAGCAGACGCGTACTGGGAGGTGGTGGTGGAGGTGGTGGAATTTTTGCTCGGGACGTTTCTGCTGAATGATTTGATTTCACGAGTTTAAAGGGTTTTTAATCATTAACCACCACAATTTAAAATTCACCGAGTTTCCTGGAGGGAGTGGCTCTCGTCCTATACGCAAATTGACGAGGGCTTTTCTTTCGTTTTCTCTGCCGATTACCTGCCCTAGTAAACTGCTCGAATTGCACAGCCTCTCTGGTTCGCTGCTCGGCGAGGATTTAGCGGCAGAGCACGCCGACCCGCAGCCAGGCTCTCCGCCCGCCCGAGCCCGCACCCGCAGCCGTGCGGCAGTGCCGGTGACAGGCGCCCCGGGAAAGAGGGAGCGCAGGTGGGGTCCGGAGCCAGCCGAGAATCCTGCGCCAAAACCTGCCTTTCTCGAGCTGTGTGGCGTGTCAGGCTGGCAGCGAATTTGAAAAGAGCGTTCCCTGGGTTTCCTTTCCAGGGGACACTATTTGTGACTCAGCAGCGAGGGCTGGAGGGCTGCTGGCCCCGGCCGCTCCGGAGAGCCTGTGCATGCACACACGCACACATGCACATGCACACGCGAGTCCAGTGGGCCTGGTGCTTCTCGGCTGCCAGGGAGTCTCTTAAAGGCCCGGCAGATCGAATGTATGAAAGTGACTAAAACAGCCTGGCTGAGCTGATACTTTGGGGTTTTTTTTTTTTTTTTTTTTTTTTTTTTTTTTTTTTTTTTAAGGAGGGGTGCGGAAAATATGCCAGGTTAGCTCGCCACGCTCCCAGTTGTTGGAAGGAGTTAACTTGTGAGTGAACCAACCTGACAACACTTAAATTCGGTCGTAAAAACAAAGTCCTGTGTTGATTTTTTTTCTCTCTTTGTATTTTAATGCCAGATGTTGAGCGATATCTAAGCTGCATTTTATTGCTTTGTGAGGCTATTTAGATAATGCCGGTGTTGAAGGAGATGATCTCCAAAGGGCTCATAAGGGAAGCGGAGAGGGAGGGACGGGGGAGGAGAGGACTGAGGCTCTCGCATGGTCGCAGGTTCATCCTCCATCCCCCTCCATCCGCTGCTCCCTGACACTCTCACGCTGCTTACAGGCTCTTCCTCCCTCCCACGCCGCCCTCCCGCGGTCTCCGGGGCTGGGTGCGGGGTGGGGGCAGGGTCGCGGCTCTCCCGGGGGCGCAACATCCACGCTTCCTGGCGAGAAAAAGTGCGGAAAGTGTTTAAGGCAGACGCTTACTGAGGGGAATAGGGCGGGGGTGGGGGGTGGGTGGGGGTGTGTTGCAGCTAGGCGTTTTCCTTGGCATGGGCAGGCGCCGCGCGTAGCTGCTGAGCCACCGCCGCAGGTTCCCCCTGCCCGCTGCGCTGCGGGCGCGGCGCTGCGCTGCGCGGGGCCGGCGGGGGAGGCGCGGAGCGGAGCCGCAGCAGGTGTAGGGCGCTGCGCGCACCGGCAGCCGGGACGGCGGGGGGCCGGCCGCCCGCGGGGCCCCGCCGCCCCCGGAGGAGGGCCGCCAGCTGTTCCCTTCGCGAGGCGGCGGTGACCACATTATTCGTGGGGTCTATTTTTAAAAATGGCTTTCCAGCCGCAGTTGTAGGAAGCTGACAATTCCGAGGGGCAGTTCTTCCACCCCTTGCAACGCCTTGGCTTCCACCCCTGGGTTTTAAAAAATTTTTTTTTTTTTTTTTTTTTTTGTCCTTGTCGGTTTGATATCCCTCTTCCCCCCACCGGGACGCGCCTCGGTGATAACTCCCCATGCAGCGCGTCGGTGTTGCCCCTGCTCGCTCCGGGGTTGGGAAGACCGGGCACGGCAAACCCGTGGGATGCCTAGGGGCTCCCGGCTTCTCTGCGGGAGGGAAGGGGATCTCGGTACTTTTGTATCGGTGCCGTGACATTGCTGTTTTGTTTGCCGGAAGGTCACAGAATAGCTGGTGATATTTGAGTTTTGGTGATTTTTGAAGTCTTCTGATGATCCTGGGGAGGTATGCATCCCAAATCGGGAGCTGCCCTGGGGAGAGCGGGCTCACATGGTCTCCTGCGAGCGTGTGCGGGAAACCTGCGTGCGCGTGTGTGGATGCGGGGGTACGCGTCAGGAGGAAGTTTTTCTCCAGGAATAAGGAGGACAAAGAGAAAACCCCGGGGGCTGCGCGTGAACTCCTCTCTGGGCTCTGCCCCGTGGGAATCCCCCTCCCCGCACACACCTCTGGAGAGACATCAGATAAGAGTAATTCTTTTGTGATGCTATGTTGGATGCGTGCCTATTGCGTACAATGAACCGAGCCATATTGTGTGTCTATACTCGCCCGGTTCTGGGAGACCTGGCATTTCGCAATTCCTGCAGCAAGATGTCCATCTCTAAAAGAAAAGCTCCCCGGGAGAACCCGGCTGGGTCCCCCCCGTAATGTGATCTCAGGTGATCAAAGCCTTATCTCTCCCGGGTCACAAAAGAAATTTTTTTGATGCAGTCTCCTTTAGTGTAGGGCATTGGCTAGACAGTAGAGTCATTGTAAATTCAGGAACTCTTTAACAGCGGAGAGGCGTGTCTCTGTGCGTCAGCACAAGTACTGCATGCACAGCATTAAAAAAATAGGAGCATGCAGGAAAAGGAAAAAAAAAAAAGCTTGTCAGCAGGTGACCTCCGCTCCCCGGGACCTGCTGCTACAAGGAACCGCTGCGTTCATCATCTGCGGGAGCCGCACATCCGCCCGCCCTCCCGCCTCCCGGCCCGCCCTGCCAGCTCGGGAGCTGGGCTGGCGGGGCGGGCTCAGCGCCGGGAGGGCGCAGGGGCGGCTCCGGACGGGGGTCCCTGCGGCTGCCCGCCCCTCCGCTGCTGGATGCTGGTGGGCGGGCCTGCCCCCCGCCCCGCGCTGTCTCTGGGGAGAGCCAGCAGACCGGGGCGGGGCAGGGGGAAGGTGATGCATGCGGGGAAGGCTCTGGCCCCCGGGACTGGGAATCGCGGGCCAGGTTTTAGGCGGAGGGAAAGGCGCCGAGCAGGCCCGACAGACTCCTCCGCTATTGAGCGTTGCAGAGGGGAGGGGATGGGGGGGCGGGCAAGGGCGCAGTGAGAGCCTGAAACTGAAGCAGGGCCCTGCTGCCTGGGGGTGCTGTGTCTGTCTGCGCTCCCGTCTTTTAATTGGCATCATGTGGGGGAGCGGGCGGGGTGGTGACAGCTGCGACAGGCGGGATGCATCCCGGCGGAGCGCTCAGCCCCACGTGTCTCCGCGCAGCTCCGCACCGCAGCTTCGGCCGGCAGGACGAGAGGGGGGCGCAGGGAAAGCTCCTTCCCCCTCCCCATCACTCGGCTGACCTCCCGGCGGCTTCTGAGACACGAAGGGCTCTGCTTCCCTCGCCCCGCTGCTCTCCTCGGCAGCACGGGGAGAGGACAGTCCAGAGGGTTCCCCTGCTCTCCCCTTTCCCTGGAAGCCCTACAAAGAGGTGGCCGGCAGAGATACTTGCTCACCGTCTTGGTTGTCATAGATGGTCAGTTGCGGTGCTAAGGGAAAGCTAAACTGCTCCATTCCATTGATACAAAGAAAGCCAACATATGTATAGCCAGAGACAAAAATGGGAAAAGGGCAAACCAGCAACAACATGAAACTGTGCAGTTACAGAGGTGTTCATTGCCTAAAAGTTAAGGAAATTGCTTCTGTAGGCCTGCTCTTCACCAGAGCTAAGACAGATAAAAATTAAAATTTCACTTTAGTCAACAACACACCTCCTCTCACCTGTGAGCGTGTCAGGACAGCAGGACAGCAGCATTTATGTCAGGCTGGTGTTCTGCACCATTCAGCATGGTCTGAATTGGATCATGTAGAAGAAGGTGTGTGAAGGGCTCATGTGGGTACGTAGGAAATAAATAGCTTCCCTGAAACTTTCTTCCTATCCTTGTGAAGGAAGCCTTTAAGCATTTTCCTTAATAAAACCAGTTCAATGCAGTGAGAAGAAATTCAGCACCCCATACTGAGTTATTTCCTCTCTACTTCTCTTCCCTTCCACATTTTTAGCTATAAATAGGGCCCTAGCTTTCAAAGTTTGGAGTTGTCCTGATTTCCATTTGATACAGCCTCATTTTGAAGAGGATTGTCTATTTTATTATCTAGTTCAGGTCCTGAGTACTCTCTGTATATTATAGACACTATACAGTGAAAATATGCACAGAACTGTGGGACAAATGCAATCCTTAAACTGACAAAGCTTCTGTAAGACTGGATGCTTGGCCCCAGATAATCTCATGAAGGACTTAATATGGCACATGAAAACTTGCTGTGAGTAGGCTTTTGAGTATTTCAAATGAAGAAGTTTCTATTCTGATCTCAAATATGTGCATGCTCTTTGCCAAGTACCTTAAATTAATTTTCTGCACTTACGATAGGACATGACAGTGCCTTTTTTGTTCTTTTGATGCACTAAGCAGCATGCATCCAAATATTTGAAATGATGACAGCAATTAAAGACTACATTTGGACTGATATGAAAAATGCCAGACTCACTAACTTAGCTATAGTAGTGTTTAATACACACTTAATGTAAGATTTAAACTCAGTTAAAATTGCTTGGTAACATGTATCAAGTAATATGATATTTTGGTAAAAGGTTTAGAGAAAAAGCCTTACTAAGAAACCTGAAAGTATTGCATGTCCAGATATAATGGGAATTTTGAAATTGTTTCAATGGATCAATTGTATCTGAGATACTACATACAATAGTGTGCTGCCACTTTATATTACTTAAATAATTACATAGTTGCAAAATATTTCCTCCCAGTATTTTTAATTTGTGCAAAGGTAGAGAATAATATAAAATGCCCAGCCCTTAAAAAAGGGTTTTCAAAACAATAATACTGTGGTGTTTGTAGTGTTGAATAATATATAAGGTAATGATCAATAATCCCTTACAGGTAATACTTTTCATCTTTACATTAGCTTGGTTATAAATTTTCCCTATTGGCTTCAACTTGTGCTAAGTTAGATCTCTGCAATTCATGCCTGCTATTGATTAGTGCAAAACTATTTTGTGGGAGATGTCAAATTAATTGTTAAAAAAAGCCACGAAAGTGCTTTTTTATTGGCCACGTGAGGCTCAACACCCACTATACTGTTATTTCATTATTTCATGTACATATAATTTCCAATAAGCTTTAAAAAATAGTTATACAGTGTGCTTAGACATGAAAATTCACATAATATATTGAAAAAGCTACTCTGTGCAGGACACACCTTATTTTGTGACTCAGAAAGTAGTGTAACACAGCAGCATGCTTCTGAATGTTGCTGGATAACTTCCTGTGAGATCATTACAGTCTTAGATAAGCACTCCCAAATAGATAGAAATTTCCATTTTTTAACACAAGATTCCTAGGCTTAGGCCAGATTTCACCAGTAGCATCCTCATTGAAGAGGTAACCAGTTTGCAGGGAAGGCTGCCAGAAAATCCCCAAACCCTCAGAACAAGATGAGCCAATACTTGATGCAGATACTTGTACTGTGCCACATGGATGTTGAACCTTGGAGATTTGCAAAAGCCGTGCTTCTCTGCAAAGTATTCTTATTTCTAAGTGAACAAATGTCGGTGTAAGGTTGCTGTTATTTGCATGGGAAAACTTAATTGTGTACACACTATTACACTTAGGTGTAAGATGTTTTCATACCTGAATTTTAGATGAGTAAATAATAACACACCAGAGAGAATGGTTACTATCTAAACAGAAATGCATGATACTGGACTATACTAAGGATTTTCATTTCTCACGCCTCTGGAAGATCATACTGTGAGTAAATCTTTCCCTGTATTTCTGATTCATTGATGTCTGAAAGGACATCTTTTGGTTCCATGTGTAACATTGCTTTATTTCACAATTCTGATTAAAATGTATTTTTTCAATTTATTTTGCAAGACAAGTTTCATAGGTTCCTCATTCATGCTATTTTGGCAATCTAAAAACTTTTTTTTTTCTCTGAATGTATTATCTGCTGTGAAAATCAGAATATCTGAGCTTAAGACACATGTTTAGGAATGCTGAGAAAGATTGAGAGCAATCTTTTAAATTGACACATTAATGCTGTTTGCAATGCATCATTCTGACAAAGACCCAATGTACTTGAAGTATTGTATATTAATTTTGTCCTCATCTTCTTCCAAACAACTCAGAAAATGGGAAAAAAGCCTTGAAAATAGCTTCTTGACACTCAGGGATAAGTCATATCTGGGGAAAAAAAAAACTTTCAATGGAAACAATACATACATTGTTTGTTTTTTCCTTCATTTCATAGGTATACTGGAATTTATCAGTATAGCAGTGGGCTTGGTCAGCATCCGAGGAGTCGACAGTGGACTTTACCTTGGAATGAATGAGAAAGGAGAACTGTATGGCTCGGTGAGTTCCTGCTGGCCTTGGGCAGCTATGATCCTTACATTCTGTGGGGGAAATGCTGGCTCCTACAAGCTCCCACTGCACTATGTGTGTGTGCTTTATGAGCACTCTTTCTGCTCTGAATATCTTGCAATCTAATTCAAAACAAGACCCTGTGGGTGACATAATGAATGTGGGAGAGGGAAAAGGTGACAAAATCAGGAATGAGTAATAATGCAGATGAATGGCAATTTAAATACAAACAGTAGAGACTGATGGCCAGAGCTGGTCACTGAAGACTAAAGGATGTACTATAAGATTTGTAAATGTCTCCTGTCAGTGGAAACCTAAATCCAGACAAAGTGGATTCCTTTTGTGTGTAGGCAGAGAGCTTTCTAGGAATTGACAAAATAAGGTAGAGGGGGAGGCAAAGGTTGGCATATGTGGATGAGAGAATGAGAAACATGAGTGTGACAGAAGTTATAAAAAGTATAGGAATGAGGGCAAGAGTCTTGGTGGTCTTGTCCTGAAAGTTTCGCTGCTGCTCCCTGAGGGATGGCAGCAGGAGTGAATAACGGGTGTGAGGGAGGAGTAAAACTTGGTATTTTAGATGTGGGAGTTTGCCAGCCTACCTGCAGCTGATGGGTGACTGTTCTTGGCAACATGGGCTGCCTTCCAACAGAGCAGAGAGAGAGAGAGAGAGTGTGTGTGTGTGCACGTGTCTGTATGACGTGGCTCTTACCTGGGACTATTGGAGGCACCTGATGTACAACCAGCTTCACACCCTGGGTAGATCGTGGGCAGGTTCATCTGAAATTTGGCAGATAATTCCCCAGATGGTAGAAGGCAAGCTCTTCTAGCAGTAAAATATCAACCCCCAAAGCTTACAAGGACAAGAGAAGCAGTGGTATTTGAGAAAAAGGATGGCAGAATTGAAGGGTAAGAGAATATCTGAGACAAAAGCGAATATCTGAAGCAAAGTGAAGCTCTGCATTCACAGGGGTTCATTAGAAGCAGAGGAGAACATTACAATGGTCCATTAGTGGTGTAAATGTTGAAGAGAAACACTCAAAAAGAAGTTACAATGATAGAGAAGGACTTTGGATGTAATTGAAAACACCTGTGTCACAGGGGAGTTGCAGTAACAGGGAAAAGGGTGGGGATGACAGTGAGAGTACGAGAAAACATGAGATGATGGTTGTGAGTGGGCAGGTGAAAACAGAAGGGGTAAGAGGGAGGTCCAGCTTCTATGTATATTATCCATTTAGAAGTATGAGGAAATGAAACCAGGAAAGTCCAGCAGAAATGTTTCCATAAGGGTGTCCAGGTTCACTGATCTCTTTCTAGTAAAATTTTGTGTGCGAGAGATGAAGAGGATTATCTTCTGAACAAAGAGCAAGCTAGGTGAAGAAACCATAAGATACAGATAATGACAGTGTGTGTGGGAGGCAGAAAAAGAGGTGGTAAAATGAGGGGTAAGGCTGGGATTGAGGATGAATGGACATGGGAGAAGAGGACATGCAGAGGTTGTGAGAGCCAGTGAGTGGGAAAGGCCAAAGAAAAGGGATTTAGCATAAATGTCAATATGGAGGAGGTAAAGTTTGGAAGGATGGAGAGGGAGTGAGAAAAGTAACTGATGCAATGACAGATGTAAACCTGTTGCCTGTGAGGAGCAAGTTGTCATAAGTCATAATCCTTGTGCAGCTGATGAATGTGATAAAAAACTAGCAAAGTACATAAGTACATCAGGTTCAGTTAGGCAGCAAAAAGGCAGAACAACAACATGTGAATAATATGAATCAGTAATGTTGATAATAATCAGTAAGAGTAATCGTTTCAACATATAAACATAGTGAATCAATTACTCTGCATTTCAGATATTCTGAGACAGGAAATGTGGTTATTGATAGAGCTTAAATACATAGACTTGGGAAAGCAAATGTTACATCACTTTCCTGTGCAATTTATGTTTTGTATTTGCAGTATGTTTGGCTGTCAGAGTGAATTAGTCAAGACAATCTTTGCTGAAGAAATATGCACAAGAAATTAGTAAGCTCACTGCATTTTAAAATAGTTGTTCCATGAACAGCAGTTCTAAAGGAGCCTGCTTTCCTAAGGAGTTGTGTCTCACAGTACAAGGCATGGATCTGTCTGACATTCTGTCCCTGCAGTAGCACAAATTCCCTAGTCTTTTGTGTTTCTTTTATGGAGAAAGGGACAGTGTTAGCTGTCCATGCTCACCAGACTGTCAGTTTGCAGGGGTTACATAGCTCACCACTCCCAAGTGGGATGTGCAAATAATTTCTCTTCTTTACCCTGCCTCTGATTAGTGAAAAACTGATAGGAACTTAATTTTCTTGAAGACCTTTGCCTCCTAATTGAAACTGGTTGACAAGCTAAGGAAAGACAAGCAGGCAAACAGATGTACAGTATAATTGGATAACCTCTTTTTCCTAAGAAATGACACTAAAAATATGAAGCCATTCATAATGGAGAACTGGCAATCTCTGAGGCTAGAATGCAAAGTTCAGGTTAAAATCTGATGGATGATATGGCTTATTGTCAGCATCCAGAGATGGGACTTACTAAAGAGTGATGGTAATTGAATTACATTACTTCCAATGAAATATAACCTCTAATGGCTACTCAGTGTGATGATGCTTTAAAGCCTTGTCAACACTAGCAATCCTAGTGCCTATATTTCAGCAACTGTCAGCCCCCTTAGAAACACTGAGATAAGCAGGCCTCAGAGCAGATTTTTAGATTTTTGTGCAGAATTGGCTAGACATTTTTAAGTGACAGGGTTTTGCTTTTGGTTTTGGTCAAAAAATGCAATTAATTGAAAATTAAATTCTCTGATGGGAATGAATTTGCTGCCTGAACCAGAAGCAAGGCACAATCCAGTACAGAATTATCTCTCCGGCAAAGTAGAAGATCAGGTTAAAAGAGATTAGTTTTGAGACTGATGTGTGTTAGACTGTGAAAAACTTAAATCAGTTTTTCACTTGCATTAAGCAGACCAATCTCTTCAGCTGTACTGTTCTGTAGCAGCAGTAAGCTGTCCTTGTGTTGCTGTGCTGTGAAGTGTATCCCTCTGTCTTGGTTCATTCCCTAAGGGCTGTGAACAGCATCAGCTTTGTCATGGAACAGGTACACTAAGGACACTGTGGCTGTGTTTCCTAAGATGGGAAACCCATGCACAACTGAGTAGCAACCTAAGAAATACTTGGTCTTGCTCTAAACCAGTGTTGGGGATCCAAGTAGGTGCTTAGATTCACAGCTTGTGAGGCATTCAGTACTTGGCACTATTGGAATGCATGCCCTGTGTCTGACACTATCATATTTATATTCTAATTACTGCATGAAAAATGCATTAGGCATGAACCAAATCAGTGACCTAAAAGACCTCTATCCTTCTATATTTCTATTTGAAACATTTGACACAGGAAGATTTTTTTTCCCAGCATAATTGTGCCACTGGAGATGGGACATATGGCAAAGCAGAGCAGCCAGGGTGGGTCATTGCTGCCAGTTTTCATGAAAGACAACAGTAAAGGCAGTTTCAGCGTATCTTGATCCAGTCATGTTCCTCTTGGCCTTCTCAAAGTTCTGCTTTCCTCATAGATTAGCTGCCTGACAAGCTCTTCCACCTCCCTGCTCTCACAGGGGGCAGTTCCTGCTGCATTTTCTGGTCAGAACAGCACAATGCCTCTCATGCTGCTTTCAGGCAGATGTGTAACGTAATGGGGCTGTTCTCAAATTCCTCCTCATGCCACGGATTTAGCCAGGGAAAGCTGAAAATACATGTGCGTGGCGCTGCAGAGAAGCCATTGGTAGCTACCTAACAATGACTTGGAACCTGGTTAGTGACAGCAGCTTTCCCTCCTGCCTCATCTGTCCCTGCTTTCCCTTTACCTTGCCTTTCCCTGGCAGCCTGCAGCTATGACTCATCATGTTTCACAGCAGCTACTGCACCTGTCCCTGGAAAGGAGGAAAAATGCAAACTACAGATAGGACCCAAAGGGGGTTAAGACGAGACATGGAGACCTTTTCCTTCCCAAGTGCCAAACAGCTTTTGCCAGCATGTCTTGCAAGGATGTTTGCAAATGTGTCTTAGCTGTGTTCCTCAGGGCCATGCCGTGGAGGGAGGGAAGTCTTTCTGATCAGTCCCACAACCTTCATGCTTTTATAAGCTGTCCCCATTGTCATGCTGCCCTTGGGAATATTAGCAGCTCCCACCCATGTGGCAGGCTGTGATATGTCCCTACACCATGGGTGCCCATCATTCCCACTGCAGGCTATCCTCTGGGGGAGTTCTGTGCTACCTCAAGCACAGATCAAGCAGGGACATGGGACACCCTTGCCTCAGATGCCCTGGTTATCCTGGGCTTTTCTGCAGTGGAGATCTGTGCTGCTTCTGACTGCTGGCATGCCCACCTCACTGATCTCCCAGAGACATGCACCTGCCCCGTTTCTCTCCTCAGACTGGATATAAAGAAAAAAATTTTTGGTGGTGTGTGTGGTGAGATGCAGGAACTGGTTGCCAAGAGACACTGTAGATGCCCCATTGCTAAAAACTCAAAGCCAGGTTGGACTGGGCTCTGAGCAAGTAGTTGAAGATGTGCATTGCAGGGGGGTTGGACTAAATGAGATTTAGAGGTACTTTTCAACCTTAACCAGTGAAATGCTGGTGCCTCCACTGCTCTTTGTGCCCTCGGCAGGTGGCAAAATTCAGCTCAGGTGGAGTATTGGTAGCTGCAAGATCTGGAGCAGCTACCAGGAGAGCTGTGCAGGTGGGGAGAGGAAGGCAGGAGAGGAGATGGAGGAGTGGTTGAGGAAGGGGAAAAGAGTGCTTGCAAGGAGAGCTCAGGGGAGCATAGAGAGCTTCATTTACTCACAGAGCAGCTGGGACAGAGCTGAAGAGCTCAGATCAGGAGCCAGGAAGGGAAGCTCCACACCTCTGGGTTGCAGACTTACAGGGTGTGTGCTGCAAGGTGAGATGTAGGAACGCTTTTAACAGGGTC